CCCACAACAAACCTACAGGAACTTACAGGGGCAAAGAAGTCGACGAACCAAGGATCCTGGCTCAGCACGACGCGGTCGGGGAAGTCTTCAGGACTGAGGTTCTCCATGGGTGCGTCTGCGCTGTCGTGAACAAAAGCTGACACGTCATGTGCTGTGACCCGACCTGACAAACAAAAGATTTAGTAAAAAATATAGACTTTGTCAGAACAAAAAAGGGACATAATTTATTTTTTGAGCGGACTTTGGAGAACTATATTCAAATACCTTTGTCATGCAAATTATCATCACCATCATCCAGTGCCAGATCTGCAACAGACATCAGCGATCATGGTTCTCCATTCATTCCTTAGCCCGGATGCTCTCAAAAAAGCTACGTTTCCCTGGTCTTTCCCCGTTACCCATTTGTTTAGGTTCTCTTAGTAGGTTGTTCTGGGCCTATCCATGCCTCGTCTGCCTTCAATTTTTCCAGTGAGAGCTAGATGTTCAAGACCTTTATGTCTATTCAGGTGTCCCAAAAACTGCATTTGTCGTTTCCTGATTGTTGCAAAAAAGGATATAATTTTTTTGTTGAGTGGACTGTGGAGAACTATATTCAAATACCTTTGTCATGCAAATAGAAACATCAAAACTTGACTAAACTGCTGACAACAAACAGCCCGTGAACTCTTCTAGCTTTCAACTGACTTATCAAATAGAGAAAATCACCAGTGTTCTTATGCACAGTAGAATTGTAAAAGGGCCGATTTAGCAGGCTTATCAATAAACGACATAATATTCTACATATTTTGCGGGTCTAGCAGACTCAATGTGTTACATAATATCCCAAATATTTGGAAGGCCCGTGAAGCAGGCGTTTTGGCCATTTATGTACAAAGCATAATTTTAAAAATGTGAGGCGTGTTGACAAAAAGAGTTACTTCTCGGATTTTAGCCTGATAGAAAGAGATATGTTAAATTTATAGGTTGAGTTTTTACAATGTATTAATATTAAATTATACAAGACCACGTTAAGCTTGAAAAAAAACGGCATTGGTAAAGAATCTATAAAAGTGGCATTTGCGTTGATTTTCAGCCGATATCTCCATTCAATGATTGCGAGAAGTAACTCATTTTGTAAGCATGCCTCACAAATCATTTTGCGACACAGGCCCTAGTGGAATGCTTACCTCCGTAGTACACCTCCCGACCGCCCTGCTCCTTGAAGAGGATGAACGTCGGGTACTTGACCACGTGGAGCCTCAGGCAGGCTGTGTGCATCTTGGAGCAGTCCACACGGCCCACCTGGGAGCGGGAGAGAAGGGGAAGGAAACAAATAAATGTTCACTTTTAAGCACAAGGGGGCTATCCCGAAAAATGCCATGTTGAGAAAATCAAAGGTAAAGTTTTTGCCCCTTGTTTATTTTCTTTAAAAAAGACAAGGAGCGTTTTCTCTATAACCAAACAAATATATACACCAATGAAACCAAACTTCTCCTATAGGTAGAACAATGCCCACTTTTGGAGGAGGCCAAAATTTCTGGAGACCCCCAAAATCTGTGTTAGCCCGCTTGTCCTTAAAAGTGACCAAATAGATTAATAAAAATAACAAAGAGAAATCATCATCATCAACGCCTTTCACTCCAGGCAGGGTACAGGCCACATACAAGCTCCTTCCATTCATCTCTGTCCTGGGCCATCCTTCTAAGCTCATTCCAAGTGAGCTTCATCTCTCTCATGTCCCTTTCCACACATCTCCTCCATGTTTCCAGTGGCCTACCCCTGCCTCGTGCTCCCTGTGGGTTCCACTGCAGTAACAGTCTTGTGATGTTTCTGCTGGGCTTTCTTACTTTTGAGGGAAAAATATCCATTTATCTTGAATACAAGTTGAGATATTTGCAAATGAAGGAGGCGGGGGTCGCCTGGTTTCAGAGGTAAAATTAGCCAGAAAATGGCCGCCAAACTTGAGTAATTTCCTTAGCTTGAAAGTCCGTGGAAACTGAAAATTTATATCTTTTATGCCTTTTATCAACGTTTTTAGGTAAAATCCACACAGAAATGTGTCCTTTAATGGGCATGAAAGGTGTTGAACGATAAGTTGCCCACAACTAATAGAAATAGACTATGTAAAAATATCAGATTTTTTGCAAATTCGTTCGGGGTCTTTTAATGGGCAAAAAAAAAAAAAAAGAAATCGGAGGAGGGCTTCCATTTTATCAGACAGCTACAAGTTTGTTCGTTCGTTCGTTTTAGAAAGGTTTCACTGCGCTTGCAACTGCATAAGGTTATATGAGCGCCAAGGGGTGGATGTCAACAGAGAAGTCTTTACAGGGAATCAGACTTACTCTACTCACCTCTCTAGCTTCAACAGCACAAAGTGTGCTTCCACTACCAAGGCACCCCGGAAATAGAGGGTCACAAGAGAGTGACAAACATACAAAAGCAGTAGAGGAAAAATGACGATAGAAAAGATGAGGAAAGAAAAAGCAGCAGTTCCCCCTAGCTTGTTCCTGCACAGTATGAGCATGACATTGATAAATCAGCCCATTTACAATTCTACTGTGCACAAGAACATGTTAATATCCCCCCTTTGGGAATGGCCTGAAGACACGTCAGTCAGTAGCACCATCCTCAACACTGTACCTGTAAATTATGGCAACTCAAAGCCCAACTATTGAGAATAAAACTAGGTCCTTACCCGGTAATCCTGCAACAAGGCCGGCAATTTCCGCAGTTCAAGGTCATGGTTGTTTGGGTTATCCACAAAATGCACCAGCCAGGTATCCTCACGAAATCTATCTACGATTTTCTGGCAACGACAGAAACAAACAACAGAGACTGCAATGAAAACTGGGAGTTTTAGTTTTAGTAGTTTTAGTAAGAGTTTTACGGCACTTGCAAAACAATAAGGTCATATAAGTGCCTAAGAATAGATGTTCATTTGTCTGGATTTCGAAGAAAAAAAATACCTATATATCTTGAATACGAGTGGAAATATTTGCAACTGAAGGAGGTGGGGGTCGCTTGGCTTCAGAGATAAAACTAGTGAGAAAATGGCTGCCAAAATTTGGTTATTTACATAGCCTGACAGTCCATGGAAACAGACAAATTACATTTTTTGTACCTTTAATCAACATTTTTCAGTGAAATCCACACAGAAATGTATTCTTAATGGACATAAAAGGTTATGAGCCCCAAAAAATTTTTTTAAATAAATTTCTTCAATTTCATTATTTAGATGAGCGTCTGATTCCACCATACTGCCTCACATATCCCTCTGTCTTTCACCACACTGTCTCACATATAATAATAATAATAATTATAATAAATGACATTTATATAGCGCTCAACCCCGATAAGTACACAGGCTCTGAGCGCTTTATAATACAGTACAACGTACAACAGTAACATAAAACGTGTTCTGACTAAAAGAAAATAACTCCAAATATTCATCTTAATAATTTAGAAACAGAAATGACCTCAGCTGACATTTGAAGGAATCAAAAGATTTGATTTCTCTTAAAGTACTAGGCAAAGCATTCCAGATCTTAGGGCCTTGGTATTCAAAAGCCCATTCACCCATTGTTTTAAGTTTCATAGATGGTAAAATAAATTTCTTTTTGTCAGATGATGAACTTAACTCTTTATCTTCGACAAGGCTTGCGGTCAGAACAACTGTGCCGGTGAGCTGCTGACAGCGGCTCGGGCAAATTCTTTTACAGCGACTTCGACATCAACTTACTTTTCGGCAATTGCCAAAAACAGTTCTCTTTTACCGGAAGTTCATTCATTAGATGAAGTACTATCATAATAGGTTCGCAAGTTTCGATTTAATGACCCATTTAGTGACGTTTTTGTCATTTTTAGACTTAGAACCAAAAAAAGGCCCCGGCGTAGATGTTGTTGTTGTTGTTGTTTTCAAATCCCTTAAGCATCGAACATTTTGCTCTTGGCAGCGCAATGCCTCCCTCAAGATCCCCGGTGTAGATAAAGAGTTAAATTGTGAGTTAGAATGGACAGTCTTAACAGATTAGATAAACATCCTTCGGTCTTACCGCCAGTACCCAAATGGCCGCTGGATTGGAAAAGTAAGTAATGTAAAGTAAGTCTTACCGCCAGCTGCTTCGCGTCAAGGATTTCCATGTCTGGAAGCTGCTGCAGCACGTCTTTGGCGATTTCTTGAGCATCCAGGCTGGTCACCTCCTGAAAGGAACAAAGAACAAAGTGTCCACTACAGGATATGTTTCCAAAGTGGCTGCAAGAAAATTAAACTTACAATACAAAACAAAAAAATAGTTTTCAGGTTGTTTTTATAGAATTCCCCCATCAACATGATTCAGAACATTGAGGAGTCGACTCGGATTTGAGGATCCTATGTCAGAATCTTCGCAAGTTCAATAGGATGCCAAAAGAATATTTGGGGTAAATGATCAGGGAGTAGAATGCTGCATTTTAAAAATTCATAATCTGTTTGCCAATTTGGTGCCTACAACCCGCTTACAAATACCCCAACATGCCCGCCATTATACTATCTTCCCACTTAGCTCCTCTTGACATTTGTCATGGCACTATAGAAGACGCTAACTTTACACAAACAATGCCACCTTAGCATAAACTGTGCCCACCATTTTGGAACTTCGCGGTGATCAAAAAGGGAGGGGGGGGGGAGGGAGATAAAAGATAAAAATTCTCCCGACACAGGAATTGAACTTGGGCCTCCTGTGTGGGATAATGAAGTCCATACAGGCCCATGGCTGCTGGGATATCCAGGATACACCCCCACAAATATATCTTTTTAAAATCCCCACAAGGGTACATGGTAGAGAAGAGTTTTACGACTGTTTTGTGAGAACACTTTTCCTTCAATGCACAACAAAGTTGGGGATTTTTTCTTTGTTTGTTTTAGTAAGTGTTTTACGGCACTCGCAACTGCATAAGGTCATATGAGCGCGCGGACACATTAAACTTTTTCAGTTGGTAGGAAATTTTCAATTTTGCCCGGGTGGCGGCCGAAGCCTACTCTTATCGATTTTAGACCATCAAGGGATCTTTAACGTGGCCAACTTGCACACGGGCCCTCTGAGATTTTTCGCCCTTGTCCGAGAAGGCTAGGTGTAGATCTTTCCTACCAGAAGATCAGGGGTGTGGCTGAAAAACAGCAGTAAGAAGAAGCCAAACAGTAGCAGTAGAAAGGCTGTAGAAAGAATCAGGAGCCTAGAGGAGGGGGGCAAGAAGATGAGGGAGTGGGGGCAGAAAGAGGAGACGAAAGCAGACGACAGAACATTGCTAGAGAGCAGGAAAGGAGGTGAAAGGAGACAAATTTAGAGAAGAAAATTTTTCGGTCACTACCCGGATTCGAACTTGGGACCTTTGAGTGAGAGGCCAACACCTTAACCTCTAGGCCATGAGAGCCCCCTAGGTTTTTTTTAAAGGTTTTTTTTTGACACTACTACTCAGTGGCGACCAGGTGTGTTCACTTCGCTCTGTGTTTATTTGTTTTTTTCTCAGTTCTTGTTATAAGTACTAATAATGTGTCCAGAGAGCATGCATCAGAATGACATTGAGTATGTATCTAGCTTAAGATAATTATTATTGTTTATATTGTTGTTCATTTATATTATGCACGTGACTGTAAGCCTGCGTGTGTGCGCATGTTTGTGTGTGTGTGTGTGTGTGTGTGTGTGTGTGTGTGCATGTTTGTGCGTATTTGTGTATGTGTGTGTGTGTGTGTGAGTGCATATGAGTGTATGTATGTATGTGCGAGCATATTTGTGTATGTGTATGTATGTGTGAGTGTGTGTATGTATGTTTGTGTATGCATGCATGTGCGTGAGTGTATGTGTGTACGTGGTGAAACACCACACCAATGTGCCAGGATCTGGACAATAAAGACATATCTTATCTTATCTTCATACTCACATATCCTTGATCTTTGCGGACATTTTCGGCAGTGTAGAAGAAGGTCCCGTGTTGACGACCTAGTTTCTTACACAGATCAGCATCCGTGTCACAGTGAATACGTCCCACTTTGACCAAATCTGCCTGTTTAAA